CAGCATGCGGGCAGAAAATAAGGGAGAAGAGGATCCGAGAGGGGACGTCCGAACACCGATCTCTTTCAGGAATGTATTGTGGGCAGACGAAAAGCTCTTTTGTGGCCACTCCACTCCTCGAACGCGTTACAACGCGGAGCGCCTGCGTCCGGTGTTTGGCTCCCAGCATTCGACCGCGTTCGACGAGTGCAGCGGAGAAAAAGGGAGTTAGCTTGGGATCCCGCCGCTAATCCATCTAACCAGAACTCGATTTTCTGGGGTCCCCGCGCGCTCTCATCTTCTCCTCTCTATCATTTTCTGCCCGCATAACGATTTCTTTGCCAATCCGCTTAGAAACTGCTGTGGAAATTCTCGGAATATTTTTCTTAAAGGACCAGGGAGTCCGACACTTTTCCCTTATTACTGCGCGGCAGCCTTTTAGAGTGCATTGCGGTGGTCGTCTCTTTCGCTTATTTCCAGAAACGATGAGGAAAGGAGGGAATGCTGCGGACGCAGCAGTAACCATGGCAGCGACACTGGGAATGGTCCAACCCATGGCTTGTGGAATAGGCGGAGACTGTTTCGGCATCTTCTACGACGCTTCCAAGCGCACTGTGCTGTGTCTGGACGGCAGGTAGGAACGCCGGACACGGTCATTTGAAACTTTGGTTTAGCTCTCATTCCTGTGTTGTTCATGAAGTCTACTTTATATGACGGTTCCACAATCTTGTAGCTATCGTCCCTGACAACGAAGATGCGCATATCGTGGATGGTTACGTTTACGTTTCTTGCTCGTTATTTCTTCTTCAGAGACTTATCGGCTAATCTTGCAATTTTATTGGCTGCGGAGAGAGTACAAAATGCTCCGGGACTCGCCATGTCCTGTGTTACGTAGACTGTAAGTAGCTATCATAATTAGCATACCGGAAATGCTAAAGGCCGAGTAGTCAGAAAATACAGTTAGTAGTTTGGGCAGCTGCAGGCAATCGATCATGCACGAGAGCACGACGCTCGCACTAAAAGGTACGTCTGAAAGCCAGGAGCTACAAGCGCGAGCTAGCCCGCACTTGTAGCTTGGGCTGCTGTTTCAGCTTTACGTTGAACACAGCATAGTATTGCGGGCGCTGCTTTTATGGCTTGCGACCCTTTGTTTTTGACGCCGGCGTTGGCTTCTGGGGATGATAGGATATTTACAAAAGTGTTGCCTAGAACCGATGCTGCAGCGGGTCCAAACCGATAGCATGTCCCTCTTCAAACTGCGGGCACGTGGAGATAGGATCACGACGGATGCTCTTCAAACATCGTGACTCTAAAATTGGTTCCATGGGTGGCCGTGTGGGTCTTTAGGTTTTGCTTTGCTTTTCGAGATTTCACGTTAAATGATGCAAGGCAAGAAAACAGCTGCCGCCTTAGTACACTCTAAGAAATGCCCGTGCGTCTACTTATCCGCAAAACACTAAAAGAGCAAATCTCTGCAATCTACGAAAACAGCTCAGCGAATGGTGAGGTGGAACATATATTTAGACCTAAAATTAAAGTCTGCGCTGTGGCCTTACGCATTGCAAAGCGTAATGCTTGCACTGGATAATGCCACAGCGCAGACTTAACTTTGAGGTCTAAACGGATGTTCCGCCTCATCCTTCGCTGTTCCGCCTCATCATTCGCTGAGCTGATTCCGTAGATCGCAGAGATTGGTTGATTGGCTCTTTGGGTGTTTTGCGGGTAAGTAGACGCGCAGGCATTTTTTAGAGTGTAGAACGCTATTTTCTTTTAAATACAGCGACAACGTGATTGTCGACCCTTTCGCCGAGTCATTTCAGGCCTAGTTTTGTCTGCTGTTTGAAAAAGAGCTGGCTGCCACGTACCTAAACTAAGACGATCAAAGACCCGGAGTTGGATTTAATTCGCAAGGGCTTTCCAACTCTCCACCCGAAACACTGCGCCGTCAGACAGCATTAATCAATTCTTTCATTGCCTTAGTTAAACATATAAAAAAGCGCAAAAAAGACAAGGAAAAGAAGTATATACAGGACCAGCACTAACTTTCAACTAGTTTTACTGAAGAAAAGCAAGCATATACACTCACGACAGACGAAGCAGCACCACATAAAAGTTGATTATTTTCTACCCGATCATTCAAAAACTGAAATCCCAACCAGGCAAAACCGTAACGCTTGCCGTGTGCCTGGTATCCAAAGGCTGTGATTGTATCTGTAGCAGAAGGTGCCCTTAAGAAAATAAGAAAGGACGTTAGCCCGCGCCCAGAGGCAGGTCAAGCGAGACAGAAAGTTGCGGTTGTTCCTTAGATGCACAGAACAGCGCACAGTCTTGGAAAAATAGCAAAACGTGTAAACGTAAAAGCTGTTTATTCTGCATCCGAAAAGCTCGCAAAAATGTGCAAGCTGAGAGACCCCTTCTGCAAGTTACCAACCGGCTGCCCAATCAAGCACAGGCGTCCGTTTGTCGCGTGCACGGAGGGGTGGTGTATCGAATTCCACTTTCATGTGGCAAAATATATGTCGGCCAGACAGGCCGATGTTTAAATGTACGGCTAAGGGAACACTACCAGAAAGTGAACGGGGTTGGGGATGGCCATATGTCGTGTCACTGTCATGGCTGCGGGTGCAAACTTCTATTTGCTTCTTTCTCGCTAGGCACAAAGATATGACTGCTAGAGAGATGATTGAGGCGGACGCCATAAATAGTTCCGGCACGTGTTGTATCAGCGTGGCTTCAATTGACTTGGCGGAAAAAGTGTTAGTGTACTTGCGGTCCGATATTTACGGCCCATTTTAGATTTAGCCTGGTTATTTCATACACCCAATATAATATTATCCGACATCTACGATTTGTAATGTCGAGGCAAATGTTTTCGTTTTTGGTGACATGGGAATCAATAGGAAAACAAAACAGACTGTGGCGTGACATCCTTCCGTGAAGTGAAATCTTTCTGTAGCTCTCCCCCCCACCCATCCTCCCCCTCCCCAAAAGGTTGATTCATATATCCGCCCGGTATGAGGCCAAATAAAACTATCGGTTTTAGCATTATGATATAGCTATTACTGTATTCAGTAGAAACGAACCTTTGTTCTCTCCCATTTGTTCTTACACGTGGGCAAATTGATATTGGGTATTTTGACTGATTAAAAGCCTTCAATAAGGTAAATCATGACTTTCTCTTGTATAATCTCTCTTTACACGGCGTTTCGTCGTCCCTTTTAAACTTGTTTCATAGTTATCTGTCGGATAGAAATGGTAGAATAGTGTAGAATAAATATCTTGAATAGCTTATCAGATGTATTTACTCCAACTTCGGGATTCCCTCAGGGAACAAAATTGGGGCTGCTACTTTTTCTTATATTCATCAGTGATATAGAATTGTGCATACAAACTGCAAAACTGCTCTTATACTTCGTCTCACCATACGATGGACTAAAGGCAGAAGCTACGAACCGCCAGATCCAATCACGAGCCACTTAGACATTGAGTGGCATTTCGCTTCGAAGCACGTATCGGTGCCCACGTCTCGGATGACTGATGGGAATGGGCCGACAGTGGATCGGACCGAGCAATCAGTGACTCAGCAATTTTACATTGCAAAGAAAGCCACGGCTTACTGGCTCATTGCAGTGTCGAAGCTATAAAAATGACGCAGCGTTTTTGGATTCGGAGCATTATTCGTCCAAACCTAACCAATTCTAAGCGTGTCATAGTTTAGCGTGAAACGTGATTGGACCTGGCGGCCCATGGCTTTTGCCTTTAGTCCATCGTACGATGAGACGAAGTATAGTTGCGGACGATATTAAGCTTTATCTGATAATCCATCGGGAAGATGAGTGAGCTCTTTTGGAAGAAGGTGTCTAACGTATTTCATACTATTGCTCACGTAACTTTTCGATGGCCAATCCAGATAAAACGAAAGTGATGTCTATGTGTAAGCAACACGAAAAAAGTTCACATCAATATTTTATCGGAAATTCTACTATTCAACGTGTGAAACAAGTTCGTGACCTTGGTGCTCATTCTGATAGTAATCTTACCTTTTTCATAACATGTTACACAAGTTGTTGCTTTTGCCTTTAGAACAATGGGGATGATATCACGTTTGACTTATGATTTTTCAGATATAATGTGCGTAGTTAATTTTTTGTTTTCTAGTACGAGGTAAACTTGAGTTTTTTTAGATTAGTCTGGAATTCGTTAGCAATAACCGACGCTGCACGGATAGAAAGAGCCCAGAAGCGATTTATAGGCCTTTATTACGATAGATATTTTTGTAAGAAATATTATTATTATAAATAAATTCTTAAAGAACTTTCACTACAGAACCTGTCAAAAAAAAAAAAAGAATTGCTCCTGACATAATATTTTCACACAAAGTGGTTCACGGCCAAATAGACAGCTATCTTGTGTCGTCTTTAAACTTTCATGTACCCGACCGTGTCGTTAGAAATTCAATTGTGCTTTATACATCTATTCAAACAAGGCTGTCCCCTTTGGATCGAAGGCAAATTTGTTTAAATTAATTCCCGACTCATGTAGATATATTTTGAATTTTACTGCGGTTAAACGACTCCTTGATATGCATATTTTTGGTTTCTGACTAGTGTAATAATTTAATTTCAAGTGCATATGTCGTTTGAGATTGTGTACTGTATCCTGTTTTTTTTGTTTGTGTGTTTGTTTTGCTTTATTCCTTTTTAACGTTTTATGTGGCACCTTGCTGTTACCAAAAGGTTGTTCAGAGGCTTAAGACAAATAAGGACTTTTTATTTTTATTACAACGACGAAATATCCCAACAATGAAGAAAAATTGAATAAGCAATCATTTGATACAACATATCCGTTTTGTTCTATGGTATTATTAAGACAAAAGTATATACGTTAAAGAAGGAAATACAATAAAAGTGTGTTACCTGGCTCCTGGCTACGTCATTAATGTCTAGAATCTTTAGAACATTTTACCCATTTCAAGTGGAAGAAGCCCAGCTGCGCTGTCAAGGGACGCCTTCTGTTCCGGGATGCGTGACGGTAGAATGATGCCCGACTCCAAGGGCCTCCTGGCTACTGTTCCGGGAGCTGTCAGAGCCTGGTTTGAAATGATTGAGCACTTTGGAACTGGGAAGGTATGTGGAACTGAAGACATTTTACCACCCTGTGATTAAGAATAGGATTTTCATTTGGGTTTTGGTACAGCAGATCACGAATAAAGGCTATCTTCATTACCTAATAAATAATCTATGCAATAATTTCCGATAAATTGAAAACGTTCGTTTTTGCTCTTTTTACTGTTGTAATTTTTTCACCAAGGTTTCTGGATGTACTACCGTGCTTAAAAAGAATATCTCACGTCATAATCTAAACCATTCTCATATTTCATGACTGTTCACTCTTTGAATTTGAGTCGAGATCAATTGGAAGCAATATTAATTATGTAATAATTAGTTAAAAACAATAGTTAAATCTTATTTATGAGATAATTCTAAATTATTCTAGGTGTTGAAATTTCGAAAGCAACGCAGTTAGTGACGCTAGCTGAGTTAGTAACGTAATTAGTAGCACACAGGCTCATAATTGAGTATTCTCTATAGCGGACCACTTCTTAGAAGCAGCGTCGGGACTACCGAGTGGTGCACACAGCATATGTGAAAATACATATATCAAAATATAACATTCTGCAGGTCATTACTGCACCTTAGGAAGCACGACACTTACATAATTAAGGGCATACCTATGTTGTTACGCTCATAATGAAGACATCCATTCCGGAACATGACGAATAAAATCCCAATGGGAGATAAGAATATTTAATTTATGTTCGCGTACAGCATTAAAAAGTTAGTTGCAGTATCGCTAAAGTTAAAGCATTGGACATGCAAGCTGGCTCTTCCGGTATGATCAAAAGAATAAATGGACTGGATTAAATCCATCCAAACAACATTTCCGCCAACTAACTTGTCAAAAAAATGGTTGTACTCTCTTCTCACTGACAGCATACGCAATGAAAACCGGTAAAGCAAATATACGTTTTTAGTTAGGCCTCTTTGTTTTGGTAGTACCTTGACTAGGTTATTGCACTTCAGACAACCTTCTGAAGATATGGGCGGTGCACTTGCGAATATGAATGCTTTAATTGTGTGTACACTATAAAGCTTTTCTTTTTTTATAAATCTGAATGTTTCAAAACCGCTCGGAATGTTTTACATCTGTTAAGAAAAATAATATTTTTTCTGCCCTCTAACTATTGTACATTATTCTTGTTTTCTTGAGAACGAACATGCTTAATAAGACTAGCTGTATTTGTGCTCTTTATTTTGTGATGGCATAAAATTATAGGAATATGACATAGCGCAGTGGAAATTGTCTACCTTAAAAGTCTTTTTTCAGCTTACAATGGCCGAGTTGCTGGAACCTGCGATTTGCTACGGAGACGAGGGCTTTCCTGTAGGAATAACGTGCGCTGCAGAATGGATGACACTTCAATCCCGGCTTAGAAAGATACATGGTGGGCGGGTATTTCTAAACCAAGATGGTTTAACCCCATTCCCAGGTGACGTGTGGAGGAATGCCTCTCAGGCTGCACTTCTAAAGGTGAATACTTTCGCGTACGGTATTTATTCCTTGATTATAACTGCTCCATATTGAATGGGATTGTTCTAAATGCGTAAGTGCGTAATTGAAAAGTGATGAGTCTGATGTAATATTTAGAGGTCAGGAAGTCTTTAGGCTCCGATCCTTTCTTCCTCTTGAGGTAGCATCTTTCACATTCAATATCTCGACTAGGATGTTTAAAAAAAATTAAAGCCGTTTACAACTCCCTGTTACGCCGAATTAGAGCGCAGCCCTTTAGGAGGAGGAGGAAAAGGTATGGAGAGGAGCCTATGCCCCTCCTCTTCTCCTGCTCGCCTCCCATTTAGGCAAATTTTCCGCTAATTTTAGCGGGGAAATTTTTCCGCTAAATTTAGCGGGAAAATTGTTGCGCTACATTTAGCGGGGAAATTTTCCTCCTAAGTCGCTAGACCTCGCGGGGAGATTTTTCCGCTAGATTTATCGGGGAAATTTTCTGCTAGATTTAGTGGGGAAATTTTCTCCCTAAATATAGCGGGAAACTTTTTCCGCTACATTTAGCGAGGATATTTTTCTGTTAGATATAGCGAGGAAAGTTTCCCGCTAAATTTAGCGGGGAAATTTTCCCACTAAGTTTAGCGGGGATATTTTTCCGATAAATTTAGTGTGGAAATTTTCCAGCTAGATTTAGCGGGGAAATTTTCCCGCTAAATTTAGCGGGGAAATTTTTCCGGTAAATTTAGGGGGGAAATTTTTTCGCTAGATTTAGCGGGGAAACTTTTCGCTAGATTTAGCGGGGAAAATTTTCCGCCAAATTTGGCGGGAAACTTACCCATAATGCACCGCGCGGTTACGCCGACGCCGATGGCGACGCCGACGGTGGCGCCGACGCCGCTCAAGCCGGAAACAGGCGCCTAAGAGCTGCGCTCTAAAACAATTCATAGGAGTGTAAGGAATGCCATCGTGCACCCTCCGGCAATATGAAAGACCCACTGGGAGCGCGTGGCAGAGGCGGTGGCTGAGGGGGGCGCTGCGCGCGCTTTGGGCAATTCCATGTCGCTCGGAGGGGAGGCCTCACTCGGTGCTCAGCTGCGCCAGCCGCGCCGAGACGATTTTGATTTCTGTTTGGCGGGAGAGCGCTTCTTACGCGGCACGCCTGGGAGTATTGCAAAGGAGGCTCGAGTGAAGTCTCGTTATCACGGGTGCTTTTATGATTTTTTTTTGTGCAAATTGTCAAATCAAGCATTGCGAAAAAAACAAAGATTACATTTATGCTGATGCCATGTACTGCACAAATGAAATATGTTGAAGAGCGCGTCTGTTCCTTAGTTTGTTAGAAGAACGCCGCGGGTATCGCAGTTTGACCGAGCGCGAATAATCGCTCTCGCCCAGGCCGGTGTGTGGCAAGCCTTGGTAGGGCATGCACGCAAATCGGCGCGAAGGTGGATCAAGGTGTTCTCGACGCGGCTCGCCAGCTGGCGCGGCTGAGCACCGAGTGAGGCCTCCCCTCCGAGCGACATGGAATTGCCCAAAGCGGGAGCAGCGCCTCCCACAGCCACCGCCTCTGCCACGCGCTCCGAGTGTGTCTTTCATATCGCCGGAGAGTGTACATCGCTTTCAGCGCGGCAGCCGCGACCTTGTTCGCGTCTTTGTATACAAAGAACTTCCTTCCGTGTAGTGTTCCAATGCAGTTCCAATGCAACAGAATGCTATAATGCAGTTACCGCTTTAAAGAGTAACGAAACCTTCAGTCACGCACATCTGCTATATTCTTAGAAGTAGGTCTCCGTCATCCGCAATGACGACACGCATCCAACGAGCCATCGCTCGCTGCAACAGAACACTATATACTATGAGGTTCTAACTGAAGGCTCAAACATGTGAATGCATTTTCATCGCAAACATTAGCACTGCACTGCCCGTCTACGTTGTTGGAAATAAAAATAGAAGTAGTGCCATTACTTCTAAATCAGCCCTCGTAACCCTTCCTAACGAAGGTAACATGTCTAATGCAAAATCGCATCTGCACTTTGCATAGCTTCGTTATTTAACGGAGTAATGCCTTAACCAGCTCACAAAATGGGCACTCTAGGTAAAGGAGGTGAGCACAGGCGGGTCCCAATGGGTGCAATGCGGGTTGAAAACTTTGAACTTCCAGGGTAGCTCTAAACACAATCTCAAGCCAAGGAATGCTGAAGCAAAAAGGGAAAAATATCGATTACATTTTAAATTCCAGAGAATTGCATCAGAAGGTCCTTGCGCAGTCTACGAGGGATCTGTCGCTCGAAATATTGTCGGTGCCGTGAAGAGCGCCGGTGGCGTTATGACGTTGGATGACCTCCAGTTTCACATGAAGTCGGCGGATTCAACCATTTTACCAGCCATATCCACAACATATCGCGAAGTAACTGTTCACACAACTCCTCCGCCAAGCCAAGGCGCTGTGCTACTTGAAGCTCTCAATATTATGGAGGGGTTCGACGTCGCAGGTACGTAATAATGCTGATACTGCTGCAAAAGGCTGGGCATACTTCGGTCACTATTTTTACGCAATAAATAGGCACTTAGCTATAGTAAAACGCTGATTAAATTTTTTTTAAAGATAAACAAATGTTTTTGCTAGACTGCCTGATGCTTGAATGTTCAGCCATTGCACCTCCAAAGTTTGACTCCGCTTCCCTAAATCACATTACAAAAGTATAATGTATTTTAATCTCTCATTATCAGGACGACAATTTCACCAGTTCAGTTGGTGTGGTTGTACTCATTTTTTGTACAGCGGGGAACTTTAAAACTCATGAATCGGCGAAGAAAATCCGCATTACGCTGAATAAACACAACTTTGTGCGGGGCTGAATTGTTGAGCTCGAAGTATTTTAAGCTACCCTGTTCCTACATTTTTGTTCAATTGAGTGAAGTACAGTCTGAGATAAAAAAGCAAAAAGGCGATAAACAAATATACCGTGCTTTTTTAAATGACACAGGACGCGTTCGTATCTCTAATTCAATATAGACAGGGAGAAATTAAATGAAAAAGTGCTGTGACATAAGGGTTTGCCTACTCCTTTCTTTCATTTTTAATATGTAACCGTGAACTGCCTTCTTTTTGTCTCTATACGCAGGTCTTCAGTCAAAGCCTTCCGAGTTCCATCATCTTATGCTCGAAGCATTCAGACTGGCGCTCGCCGATGGCCTGTTAGATATTTCAGATGCACAATTTGCGTCTATAGGCAGAATGATCTGCAAGGAACACGCTAAAAAGAAACGATCTCTCATCAGCCATGAAAGGTGAGAGTATGTATATACATGCTAAGGGCTTAAAGATACAGGCCAAATATGTCACTGTGCGGGTGTTTCTCTCTGGAGCTTTCTGCCAATACACATATGCGAAACGCGCGTAATACCTTCGAATATCTATAAGCGTTTATATAGCTGTTTTCCACCGCTAATGCAAAGGCATAGTTTCGCCGATACTGGCTTAACAAAACGAGGCTCGAGTACTCCTCCTCACACAGCACAAAATGTCACCGCACTTGACCATGTTGACTCAACGTCACACCAGTGCGAGGAACCTAATAGACGACAACTTGAGCTGAGACATGGCGCTTCACGTTTCCCCACTCAGCGTTATGTGCTGGTCGAAGAGGAGTGCACTGGAGGGGCACAGCTGCACGCTCTGCACTCTTGCGCCCTTTACCAAGATATGAGCCGAGAAAGTGAAGGAAAAGTGCAGACGAGAGCGCACGGGGAGTTCGAAACGCCTAGCTCTGATTGGTAGAATTAGTGGGTAGACTTAAACCTAGCAGCCTTTGGCTCCAATGCACTCGTCGAACGCGTTAGAACATGGAACGCCGGCGTCCGGTGTTTGGCTTTCGAATTCGAATGGTTGGAGAAGTGCAGTGGACACAAAGGCAGCTTTAGGTCTATATCTAATTATTCGAAGCAGAGCTCGGCGTTTTGATATTCCGCAAACTCTCTTTTCCTCCTCTTCCTTAGCTTCTCGGCGCTGAGCACTTCACACAACTAGTGCTGAAAACACTACAGTCCTCATGAAGCCTCCTCCGCACCCTGGCCTCTTCCGAGCACGCGAGCTAAGCTTTATTTCATGTGAGCGCAACCGCCCCCCCCCCCCCCCCCCCCCCCCGAAACGAAGTTGCTATGAGACCGCCGAACGAAGTTGATATGAGACCGTCGTATCTGTAATGAATAACAAAAATTTGATTTGTACCCGAAGGAAAAATCCATCAATGTAACCCTGTTTGGCAGTCAATGTTTTCTAGTGGACCGCTGACTGTGCCTGACTGTACGTCAAGCAAGTCTGATTGGCCAACAAGTTACTCTGACCGACAGTCAAACTCCAGTCAGACTCTGCTTGTCGGCTTTCTGATGGTTTCCTGATGGCAGTCGGCCGCCGCGAAATTCCATCAGGATGTCTTGGTGGCGATTCTGACTGTACATCGATTGTCTCTGACTGTACGTCAAAAAGCTTTGACGTGCAGACAGACGTACGGTCAAAGGACGTAAAGTTCGTTCGGACACCACTATTTCGTCAAATCTATGAATACGAAAAGTAATCTATGCGCTAGAAAACGATTTCGGGGCGTCCCATAAAACCGCTGACGTTAGATATTTGACACGCAACCGACCGACAACCTTGATCAGAAGCCCGCCGAAGCGCCGAAAACGACACTTCGCCACTTCGCTTCGCCCATAGAGGCTTCGCCGCTTCGCCGCTTCGCCGAGCTTTCATGAACGATCGCTCTCGACTTGTTTTGTTTGCCCGCTTGCTCCAACCTGTCGATCCTGCCAGGATTCTACAATGTCTTATGTTTTAGTAGAAGTTCTACCCGACAAGACCCAGCCTGTTGTGAGTTCCGACGATGTAAGGGACTTTAGCGGTGTAGTCGAAGACGACAAGGTGTACAGGTCTACTGGGCCGGTGACGCGCGAACAAAAGGATCGTTATACGACGCGAAAGTACTCTACATGGCAGGTGAGTAGAACTGAAGTACGGCGAGTGATGTACGAGTGCTTTGCATAACATGCTGACGGCTTAACTGCATTTGCAGCCGAAGCATCTCGTATAAAACGATTAGTGAAATCGAGTTTCCAAAACGGTTCCATAGCATAGCGGTTACGGTGTGCGATTTGTACGCAAGTGGTCGCGGGTTCGAATCCGCGGTTGTTCTGCCTTTTTTCCTTTTTTTTTTTTCTCGAACATTTTGTTTTATCGAGGCATTTGGGGATATTTATGAGTGCGTATAGCTTTACTCTTATATAAATGCTGCCCTTGTTGATGAAAATCCCTTGGCAGTGGCAGTCAGACGTCATCTGATGGACCATCAGATGACGTCTGATGGTCCATCACGTTCCACCAAGGCTGCTGACTGGCAGTCAGTGTCCCAAATTACGTACCTTGATGGAATTTTCAATAGGGTAAGAAGTTTATAAGTGCAGTGTTCTGTAATTGGTACTATTCTAAGCGTGTGAATAATGATTGCGTGTGAGTATATAACGTTCAACTCTACACATAATACAAATGACCCGCTTTCGAAGATTATGTAAGGGGCGCGTTTTGATTATTTTGTTTTTTGCATGCCTCGTCTACTACGTCTCACACTCTAACTGGCTCCGCGACAGTCGGATTTAGATTGCCACCTCAGATGATGGCGCCCAAAAGTAAGACATTCACCTAGCGTTCAATTCCTTACCGTACTCGACTCAGGGCCCTGCTCAGCACCACCCAGTCTGCACATGTGTACAGAGTTTCGCCATACTAAAACGTCGCAATCTCTGTTACTACTGCTGTTGCCACGTTAGTACGTCAAAGGGGCGACTTTTTCGGCTTCCGCCAGGATATCGCCTCTATTAGGTATGACAGAGCTACCGTTGTCCACATACGTTCCGTGATCACTGTACGTGGCAGTTTGTTTACATTAACCTTCAAGAGGTACATTAATATTTACTGGAGGTATCCGTCAGGGCAATGAAGTCCTGTGCTCCAGAAGGACTTCCCAGACTGAATCAGGCGGGTACCCTGGTCGCCGCCGCCGTGGACACTCAGGGAAATGCTTGCTGCTTAATCAGCAGCACGGGCACGGCGTTCGGCTGCGCCGTCGTCCCTGAACACGGCTTTCCAATACAGGTAAGCAGTAATTTTCCAGTCATCAATCAAGAACTGCTCCTACAAAAGCGTGCAACGTAAAACGTTGTACTTTGAACGGCAAATTTGGTGGCCGGATGTGACGTCTCACTCAGTTCCAAGTTCCCTCTAACCTCTATTTGTTTTACGACATTTCGTCACGAGGCACCGGAAGTTTTTGCTTCCCATTTCTACAGCAGCGAGGTCCCCGTTTCTCTAGGTCACATCAACTCTCTACTCAAATATGTTGCTCTTGCAAAAACAGATTGCGAATTGTAGTTGCGAAGGAGGTCGTGAATCGCCCAAGCGATATAAACCCCTTTCAAAAGTCGCGGGCTGATTATTCCAAGGTCGGAAAAACAGACCCCGTGCGATATGCGAGTTATTACATAGGTAAAAGTGCATCCAATGCTAGATGCCCTCGAGTCAATGAAACAACGCCGACACGCAACGTCACTCCATTACTCAACATTTTTTGGGGGGAGGGACGGGGAGGCAGGTTGCTTTCTAACCCAACCAAAGAAATTAAGTGCACCGTGACGTTGCGGTTGTAGTTTGTGTGCACGTGTCAAGAACTGCTCCTACAAAGACCGCCATTCTGAAGAAAGCTCACAACTTCCAACAGATGGCAGTTTTTAAAAATTTTCGCTGGGGAAGACCCGTTCCAGCATACAGGGCAAAAGCTTTCTAAAAAAGTGTGCATACGCGGCTGAGGCGTGCTTCCTTAACGTCGATGCGTGCCGCATTTCAGGGGCGAGGCATGGGATTCAACACCGTGCACGGGCATCCAAACTGCGTAGCGCCACGCAAGAAGCCGTACCACACTCTGATGCCTGTTCTGGTGACCGACACGCGCTCCGGAAAGCTTTTGGCCGTCATGGGAACCCAGGGGGCTGCCATGCAACCGCTGGCAATTCTTCAGGTAAAATTTGGATTATTTATTTATATTTCACTCTGATAGTTGTTTCATATTTTATAATATCAGCTCTCATATATCTTCTTTTTTCTACATCCATCTGGAGGTTCATCCCTATTTCTTAGAAATACGTGCATAACTTTTCTCCGTTTTTACGATATGTAATCTATGTATGTATGCTATGTAATAATGCATGCGTTTTTCGGCGACTGAGAGCTTTTTTTTCATTATTCTTTCTTTGTACTTTGCCTCTCAGCGTTCTGCGTCGTGTTACGCAATCAGCGCAGGATTCATTTCAGGGGTTACTGGCTTTGAAGTGCTAGACTGTTCAATACCTCGTCCCCCCCCCCCCCCCCCCCGCCCCCATCGCCACCCACGTTTGTTTTGAAAATGAACTGCTGCGCGCCGTGAGTGGGTATCTTTTCATTCTTATTGAGACCTCAACTGGGACAAGCAAACGGCTAGTGCGAAAAACTTGGTGCTCCTCCCTGAAGAAGGAATCTGAACTGGCGTCACAAGGTATGCGGACGAGAGTGTATCTGCGCTGCTGTGAGTCTGAGTAACCCTTTTTCGTGTGGGTACTGCCTCCTGGTCCATCTCACGTACACTTTTTGCTACAGTCTACCCGCGTTTGGCACCAAAGTCCACTGCAATAATCACCTTTTTTTGGCTGCGATTTTTGTCAACCGGGCGGTTCGAACTACTGTTTTGCCAAACATTTCTTTACACTGCATTCTGAAATTTCAGGTACTTTTGAGTATGATCGACCACTGTTTAAATCCCCAAGACGCGGTGACGAAGCGACGAATGAAAATTGGATCGATTACGGATACGCACCCGGAGTAAGTATGGATGTCTTCATAACGTATTGTGGTCGCCTGTGACACCTTAACCGGGCAGCGCGCTCTTAGACACACCTCTAGCTTGACCTTGAAATGCAGAACTCTTCGGAAGACGCGCGACTCTTCTTTCGGGCAGAGGGGACACGCAGTGAAACGCGTCGCAACTCTTGGCGACAGATATAGGCATGCTGCCAACTATCCAACTTGGTAGCAAACACGTTTGTGTTTATTCGCGTGTGCTAAATGGCAAAATAAATTTAATTGCTTTGGCAAGAAATCTGTGTCCTTGTTCTTGATCAGTAAAGCTCGGAAGCGGCGCAAAGCTTCTTCAAAGGTGGAAATCGCGGCGTTCCTTTAGCAACGTTATTCCGATGACTAGGGCATGAGTACACGCTCAGTGACGGCGAAACCTCGAGAGTATTCACAAACCAAGCCTGGAAATATATTTTCTTGTCCAGACCCAGTTATGGAAACATTATTGCTGGGCGATTGACCGATGAAACTTATATGAATCGAATAACACTTTAATTGTGATTAATATGTTTAATTGGTTAATCGCTTAAATTGAGACGAACCAAAACAAAACAAAGAAAAACATTATTCGCTTTCCTCATCTGGCAAACGTGTATTGGAAAAAAAAGGACCACATGTTTCAACCAAGTTTTGAAGTAGTCAAGTAGTTGTGGTCATAGAACTCATGCATCAAATGTCAGCAAGTCTGTTACCAGACACGTTCGTGTTCCTCCCAAAGTCGACGGGAGAGCCGTTCGTCGCGTCGTTCAGTGGAGGCGGTCCGCAGAAAAGTTTGGCGGTTCGGCTGGACAATCGACTGAATATTCACGGGGATAATTTTAGACATTCCGCGGACTGCGTTTACCTTGAAACTACCGAGAACACAAAGAGGGAGTGCGATGTCTACATGGTTGGCGGGGTGTCGGCTTCCGCAGTGCTCGGCATGACGTTTCTTCGGCTCACGCCGAACGCTGTCCATGCCCTCAAACAAAATCCCCGGGCACCCTTCGACAACTGCAGAGCCTAGTGAAGTCGAAACTGCGAGCAGTAATACACACTTCAAAGACTGGAAGAGTACACCAATACGAAGGGTAATCTTTAGGTGAAATTTGAACGTACTGTAAGCGGTACGTAGGGTCGACGTTTACAACTCAGAACAAGGCGGGAAGATTATATTTCACATGGTCGCTTCAACGCCATCCGAGCGTCTGTTTAGCGCAGCAGTGACTATGAAGAACAAGAAAAAGAGCTCCTTCCTGCAGGAGGGTATTAACAAACTACTTTGAATTTACAATGGGAAAAATAAGCTAAAAGTCCCTTTAGACTGCTCCCAAAAACGCATCCAAGTTGAAATGGAAAATATATACATTGCGTGGGTTATTATCACATAGAAAACATTAAAAAAAATCAGCAAAAGTAAGAAGTGTAAATTTGTCCTCGTTTATATATTATGCATTGAAATCATCGGAACCTATTATTCGATTAATTAATCGATTAATTCGTTCCGATCAATTGGGTTAAAATTTTAATAAACTCCCAGCCCTTGAAAACACCGGTATTCATCACCTACCGTACAACATCAAACGTTTAAAAACAGAAAGCCCCCCCCCCCCTCTGTTTTGTACGTCAACACAAAACGAAGCAACATAGTATTCCCTTTCATAAAATAAAATTGGAATTTTAAGCGTGAAATCAATTTTCCAGATTCTTAGTGAAAAAATTTCTCATAGTGTGGTCAATACCCAATCACTTCCCGGGCCTCCGACGGTAGACAATCCGAGGTGCCCGCCGAGGTCCGGGAAAACAACCTACAACTACCGGTCCCTTAGCAGCCAATGGGATTGCAGCGTTAGCTGATAAGGAAGCCCAAGATCCAATCACTAAGCAAGAAGCGTTAATTTAATGTTCTTAAGCTGTCAGTGAGGATGTTTACACTGAGGCAGACCTTACGCTCATGCTTCTTACTTCTTGATTGATACCTTGGCGTTCTGACCGGATAATGCCGTCATTTCATTGGTTGCGGAGTGATGAGCAAAATCCAAAGGAGCTTCATAACGAGAGCTTTCCTCTTTGAGAATTTCCTAACGTAGGAAGTAACACTTTAAAATGAGCAAGCCAACAGACCACTCTTTTTGCGACCAAACAAAGACCAAGCTTCTTCAATAGTGCTCCATTGAAGCTCTCATACTCACGGTGTGTAATATTGTAGTGTGTTAGTTTGTACGTGTCCAAACAATGCTCTCCGATATCCGTGCCCTAGAAACAGGAAGCAGCTCGATGAAACATTATTTGTAAGAAGCCGAATTAGTTCATGAGTCGAACCTGTCTTTCGTTCCTTTCTATACTTTGGAAAATTATGTTTCAGGGAGGCACGGCTGCGGGGCGCACCACAGTTGCTGACGAAACTCAAGCGGCTGGGCGTGTCTTTCAAACGCTCGGCCTTTCGCCTGCGCTCCGTGCCTTCCGTCGTGCTCTGGCTGCTCGCGCGCGCTCGAGGTGCACCCGACGTTGAAGCGTTGTCGAAGGTAGCAAGCTCGCGCTGGAGCTGCAACACCTTAAGCTCCACCCGGCCTTTCTCACCTCGTCGGTGACTGTAGAAAACAATTGCATTGAAGGGGTATCCACACGAAGGAGAACTCCGCGGACGGAGCTCGTGACGTCAACAACCCGGGAAACTCCGTCCCCGGCTCCGCCGCGTGAATCTGGGGCTTTCGTGCTGATGGAATTAAGCCTCCGCGCCTCCGCCACGGAGGAGAACGGCGCCACGAGGCGTCAAAAAGGAATGACGTATGTCGCACGTGATGCGCGCTCCGCGGAGGAAAGGGGCGGATTTCTCCTTCGTGTGGATACCCCATGAGCGGGTAGTCTTGCAGTCAAACATTCGCCGAGACGTGCGGTATCGCGCCTGTGATTTCTAAACTACCATTCAATTGTTCTGGTGGAACATTTCTTTGCAGTGACGCGCTTACTATCGAGGAGGACATGGATGCAGCGAACATTGAAGGCCTTAAAGAGAAAGGACACCGTGTCAAACACATCCTTAATGGTTGGAAGCGTTCGTACATGGGTCAAGTAGAAGTTGTCGCTAAGGAAGAATTGTGGAGTGGCGAGACCAAGCAATCTGAAGAGCAGCAGGCGACTGCCGAAGTCCTGTGGTGTGGGTCGGATCCTCGATGTGGCGGTGGGGCTGTTGCTTACTAG